CAGAATTACTCTAGAATCCAATGGCATATTAATGCCTCACATATACTTAACAGACACAGTAACAACATGCCAAAAATATCTTATTTTCAGATAGGACCAAAATACATGTATCTGTATGTTGTGAATTTCATCTCCAGCATTTATACAACAATGTTTTTTTATATATATAATAGCTAATTTATTAGTTGTTACATAAATAACCTTTTAATGACCTCTTTCCTGATGCAGTGAGAGCTATACCAGTTTCCTCCGTAATGTTTGAATAGTTTCTCAGTAATCAGTTTTCATGCTTCTCCTGTTGTTGCATGCAATCTTTCCCTCAGGATCTGCAAGGGAAAGGGGAAAAGAGAGAGCTGAGAGTTAGTTTTCATACCCTGCCCTCCCATGTTTTTCCTATTAAAATTCCTTGTCCTTGTTTCTCAAGAGGTTTGGCACATGGTTGTGTTTGTCTGCTTGGCTGGCCGATTTCAGTTTGGCAAATTTTAAAAACCTCATGGTACCACTTTTATGTCTCTGTCCCTCAGGGGGGAAAAAAGACAAACTGTCGTCATTCTAGTCTGTTCTTTCTGTGATGGTTTTAATTTAGATCAAAGTTTAGTATTCTTTGACTTTCAAAATGTTATCTCCTCATATTGTTTGCAAGTGCTGGCGTAAGATACCTTTTCTGCTAGACAGAGACAGTGTATAAGATGTGGGTGGCCAACCTGTGGTTTAAGAGCTACCGTGTGGAGTACCATTTCTGGAGGCCCATAGTTTTAGCCATGACATCCAGGTGTACCCAAAATATTTTATTTTTTTGAGGCAAAAGATAAGATTTTAGCTTTTAGTACAGTTTGTTTTAATATTGTGAACTATGTTGGAACCTCTTGAGGAGAAAGGTGCTGTATCAATATTTTAAATAAATAAACAATAAATTAATAAAGTAGCATTCCCGTCTGTTTCATGTGCTGCATTCACTGAAATAGCTGGTGAACCTTATTTCAGCACTGACAATGAGATGGGGCCATCTGAGGGACACACACATGTCTGAGGGCAGCAGGCTAGCTTAGGGGGGAGTGCAAGACAGAGTGTGTGACCCCCTAGGAACAAGCAGGAGCTTGGGGAAAGCAGCTGTGGGCGATGGTAGTTGTCACACTCAGCATCTGCCCCCTAAGGCAGTTGCATCATTTTGTCTCACTCTGATGGTAATAACAAAGCCCTGCATAGCATGGTATTAGAACTCTATATTCCTGCTTGTCTCTTCCCTTGTGTATCTGTCTTGTTCCCCTTATGACATAGCCGCCTTGGGCCGAAGTTGCTTGAAGGCAGGGAAGCTTTCCTCTGCATCATGTTGGAACTAGAATGACACTGGCTTAAGCTTCCAGACTTGACTGGTTGGAACTGTGCAAAAAAGTCCCACGGCAGAATCTGAAGTTCTGTAGGGATAGGACTAGAGATGGAGAATTTGATGCTCGTTTATGCTTAAATGTTTATATAGTTATGGTAAATGTGTTGTTTTGAAATTCGCTGGTTTGGTAAAGTATGTGATGGGTGAGAAAGGAGCATGAAATGTTGGTAAGAAAGGTTTTTATTATGTGGGAGAGACTTGGAGAATTGAGGGTTGGTTAGGTTTTTGAAGAAGTCTGTGGGTAGAGAAATCAGGGAAAAGGTAGTTTTTTAAGAAAAAAGCTGGGAGTTTTAGGTGGAGAGAGATGACAGGCAGAGTGAAGAACTGGATGCTGTTATTATAATAAAATTTTGCTGTTTTGATTCAACCTGAGTGGTATGGAATTCCATACCTGAGGGTTGGCTAAGTGGAGGGTGGTACATGGCCTTGAGGGAGGAGGTGGTTGTGAAAAAGAATGAGAGGAAATGTTGAGATTATTAAAGAAAACACTTTTATTCCTGTGGTTATTTAAAGACACCATGATCTGAGTAGTCAAGAGACAAGATCGTAGTTGTCCTCAACGCTAGAGGTTCTCCACTCTTGAGACAAAATACGGCAACCTTGTACTGTACAACATAGCTAGCTATGAGCAGTTCCAAGTCTGAGGAAAATAAACAGGACTTCTATAAGCTTGATCTGCTGTCAGTTTTACGCCAGACTTGTAATCTACTCTTCCATGTGCTATTGAAAATATATAAAACATTTAGCATGTTTAATCTTTCAAGTCAAAAAGAGACTTTTTAAAAAAGTTTGTTTTTTCTGTTTTCAACATTTGGCATACCATCGGAAATGGATTTATGGGCTCCCTGCCCAGAACAGCAAAGATGTGTTTTCCTAACAAGCAGTACAACAGTAATTTGAACTTTTGTGTGTACCTCAGCAAAATTATGTGGCTTTAACTCTTAAATCAGTATTCTGTTGGGTAATAGTTTTGCAGAGAGATACACAGAGAGAGAAAGAGAGAAGGAAAGAAAGAATGACACCCCTCCTTCTCATCTGTCACCATCATTTCTTGAAATCTATGGTTGACATTCTATCCAGAACCTCCCTGGTTGGATTTCAAGAGCTGAGTGTTCTGTACAAGCTTCCAGCTTCATGCATTCCAAGTGTCGCAGCTTCATGTCTGTACTAGTGTTACAGAGAGCATATGTCTGTAAATTGGCACAAAATAGCCTCTTGTTGGGATATCCAGAATAGTGTACTATTCATTGTAAGAATAATGCTGTGAATGCTAATTTCAGAGATGGGGAATGTGTGGTTATGTGGATTTTGTTTGGTCACTCTGGGAACATTAGATGGGTCAATCATCTAATCCAGTTCAGCTATTATAGTGCCCAGGATTCCCAAGACCCAAGAGACTACTTTGTATAAGGCTAAAATGACTTCTACTCATTCTCTACCTAGTGTTTCCTCTACTAGAGATTATGATGGTGCCTGAAGAATTTCCATTTGTTTTGAATCGATCCATTCCTTGTCTTCCTTGCACATAAAATATATGCTTTGCTTACAAAATTAATGACAACAATCCACCAGGAAAAACACCCTTTCTTTTGTGAGGCAAAAGAGACATGATGAGCATCCGCCTCATCAACATTGATCATTTTGGAAACTTCTTCTTCTTGTTCTTCTTCTTATTCTTCTTGTTCTTCTTGTTCTTCTTGTTGTTCTTGTTCTTCTTCTTCTTCTTGTTCTTCTTCTTCTTCTTCTTCTTCTTGTTCTTCTTCTTCTTGTTCTTCTTCTTCTTCTTCTTCTTCTTCTTCTTCTTCTTCTTCTTCTTCTTCTTCTTCATTAGTTTTGTCATGATTCTGTACAGAGAGATTTATTGTTTCAAGATTGAAGGTTTCTGATGGTGGAAAGTTTTCATTCTTAGAAGGTCAAGAGTAGGCTGAATCGCCTCCGTGTTTGCTTTTCTTTACGGCAATATTGTTCGTAGAATATGAATGGAGTTTCTTGTGAGGAACAAGAATCTCGTTTCCTTCTGCGTACAGTATTCCCACCACTGCATCAAGGGACTGCAGAGTTTTGAGGTAGGAAGTAGTCATGACAACCAATATTTGGCAAGGACTGTTTTAAAATATTTTATAAGAAGGCTATCTAGTGAGCTGCTTTGGTACTGAAACCGGAAAAAAGTGGGAGAAAAGAGGTGTTTTAATTTGTAGAGGTCAGCTCTGTCTTTGATATTTTTGCAAATGCACCACAAATAACAGAAAAATTATCACTTCTTCCATTAAAAGTGGCATTGAGCCCTATGATACAAAATGTGGTGAGTGAAATATTGTCTGCAGGAAGGCAACAATAGAAACATACGTACAATATGTATATTATTTATGGATAAGGGACATAGTGATATCTTTTGAATCAGATACATTCTTTACAAATATATTATAGAGGGTAGGACTACACAGATGCTGAAAGTTCTCCCTGTTTATCAGGCCCTTTGGTCAAAGGGTTATTCCTTCTGCTCATGGTTTTAAAAACTAAAACTAGTATCTTTGCTGAAATGAGGTTTATGATGTGCACATGTATTGTTTTAAAAGAGAACTATGCCCCCATCAGTTTATGGAGGAATTAATCTCCAGTATTTAGGTGGAGTTATTGTGAGCACTGGGAGAAGTTTAAGGGGACATGTGTCCTTTGGATTGTATGTCCAAGACCATATAATTCTTATCCTGTATTAAAGACAAAAGTCTGAATATTTGCACATAGCATCTTCTGATTGGGAGCTCTAAGCCAGAGGAATTGTCCTTTTTGAAGTTTACTTGGCTTGTAGGCCTAAAGCAGTTGTTTAAATTGTTTCCTGGTTCAGATGACGCAGAAAATTGGTTTAAAGAACCAGGAGGTCCTTTTTTTTGCAGCTAGATACGTGAGAAGTGCAGAGAGGAAGACGTGATGAATGAAGCACCAATAAACTGTAGCTTGGTTGTTGTGGGTTTTCGGGCTCTTTGGCCGTGTTCTGAAGGTTGTTCTTCCTGATGTTTTGCCAGTCTCTGTGGCTGGCATCTTCAGAGGACTGGAGTAGGAACATGGACAGAGCATGGACATGCATGAAGATGCCAGCCACAGAGACTGGCGATACGTCAGGACGAACAACATTCAGAACCCGAAAAGAACAACCTTCAGAACCCAAAGAGCCCGAAAAACCCACAACAACCATCAGATCCCCGGCATGAAAGCCTTCGAGAATACATTAAACTGTTGTTTGTTGGATTGTCTGCATATGTCTGAACTATACATGGCATCCACGCAATTGTTTCAAAGGAGAGCTGCCACAACTTGCATAATTGGAGGAACAGTTTTGGTGAAAAATATAATCCCTTTCCTGTTACTTTAGGGGAAGTACTTTAATTTTTCCCAGTTCCTTGTTTTTGTTCATTTAATTTACTCAGTTGATTGACATCTAAAAGAAGAATTAATATATCTTACTTACCATGTAAGTATTCTCTATTTTTAAATGTTTCTGCTATAAACTCTCCTTTGTGCTCCTTTCATTCAGCTTTTCTGTGTCAAATGAATGAATGAAAGACTTTTCTGCTATATTAATTGTCCTTTATTTTTCCCCCACTTTCCAATACAGCGGATCCGACTGCTTTGGGCTTCATCATTTCCCCATGGTCTCTTTTGCTGCTTCCATCTGGCAGCATATCATTTACAGATGACACTGTGTCTAACCAAGACCTGCGAGCTTTCACAGCACCAGAGGTTCTCCAGAATCAATCACTGTCATCTCTTTCAGATGTTGAAAAGGTACAGCAATCTCTCTTCTGCTGTGTTCTCTTGAGTTGAATCTCGGACAAAGAAGAAGGATAGCAATGAAGAGTAAAGAATTTGAGACCCGAGGCACATCTTAGAATTGCATTATGAGTTGTTCTCTTTTTTTGCACAAAATACAAGCAGATAATCTTTTGAAAAATCTGCAGAAATACAAAGAATTTTTACAAAGTTCTTGTAATCTTGCCCAGCAGAGAGAAAACTTGGATTTTTTTTTCATTCTTACCAGTGAGAGTGAAATAATAAGGATTTACATCCCTAACCCACATTGATTTGTCTCCTATTTTTTAATCTCTTAATTTTTTTGTCAGTTGGAGTAAAAATGATTAGGCAATACTAGAAATATCCAAAAGATGAGCTTTTTGTAAATGACAAGAGCCTCCCAAATAAGATAATGGCAGAGATTATTATTTTAATTTCAGAGCCGACATATTTCTTAATACTTTGCAGGCACGTACGCTCTGTGTTTGCAGTTACTAATGGTTTTTATTATTATCTTTTGCTTCTGACATAGTTCTTCAAGAGAGCTTTTAAGCAAGAATCTATTTTATTTTCAGATCTTGTTCTTGAAATCTGAGCATGTCCCACAAAAGCACTGGAAACCAAAACAAATTGCCATTTATATTCGCCCCCGAAACAGAATGACAGGGTTGCATGAGCCAAAGGGTTATGACTTCATTCCTAAAGCAAAGAAATGATGTACTCAGTGATACTTTTCTGGCAGACTGCTGGATAGACAAAAGAATGCCTTGTTGGTCATTCGGTAAATTTGAGCCTTTTTAAAAAATGAAGCCACTGTATTAACCCATGTGTTGCCAGAAATGTTCCATTTTTCATTCATTTGATGAGCAGGGTTTTGTTTTTTTTGAAATCAGCTCATTTCTTGCAAAGAAAAGGCAGAAATATTTTAGTCAAAACATGAGAGAAGCATGTGGTCAATCATGTAAGCTCAAATTGAATGGCTTTACATGCATTGCCAAGTCATAAAGATATTTCTATAAGCAATCAATTCTGCTGCAGCTCTTTCACATAGTCTAGTATTTAGCCTGGGGTAGCCACTAAGTCATTTTAGGATTTTTCCTGCAAGGCAGGGGTGAGCCATAAGGCTTCATTTTGTACCCTCTTGTTCCTCTGTCCTGTCATAAATGCAGTTATATCTGGAGCATTTGATATACCATTCACTTAACTGGTGTATCTTGTTTTGTTGCAGATCCATGTTTATTCTCTTGGAATGACCCTTTATTGGGGAGCTGATTATGATGTTCCACAAAGCCAAGTAAGTGTGCCATCAAACTATTTCTGTCTTATGGCAACCCTATGAATTAATGACCTCCATAAGGTCCTGTCATTAGCAGCTCTGCTCTGGTCTTGCAAATTAAAAGTCATGGCATCCTTTATTGAACTAATTTATCTCATGTTACGTTTTCCTCTTTTCTACTCCCTTTCTCTTTTCCTAGCATTACTATCCTTTCCAGTGAGTCTTGCAAGATGATATGTTACTAGGCCATATTACAGTTTTTATGGGATATGATAGCCAGCCAGTTTTCATTTTCTAGAGCTTCCCTGCTGCAGATTGGTATGAAGAATTGCAAGATTGCTGGAGGGATATAGGAAGCATAATTTAGTGGTGCTTAACTTTTTATCTGCCACCACAACTCATGACTGCAGATGAGAGAAACTGGTGCCAAATGGGTGTGGTTTAGGGAGGAATAGCATGGCTGTGTGGCAGCAAACGGCTAGAGATTTTTGGTGTGCGCTTTTTTATGTTGCTGCTGAACAGATGGAATAAAAAAATGTGAAGAAGTGCATAAAAGATGAGGACTGTGTGACAGGGCTTGTCGTCAAAAGATAACGATCTACTGTGAACTCTGACAGTGAAATCCAAAGGCTGAAATCCAAATGACTATGAAAGCTAGGATGTAATATCAGTCAACAGAGGGTGTATGCGCTGGGGAGTCTGTGTATCTTTCCAACAGAAGATACAAGGTGATCAACTAGTAATACAGGAAAAAGATCAAGTTGTTCTCAGCTGTATGGGTGTTACCACATAATTGCAAGACTTGCTCCAGCAGTCCAGTAGGTTTGTTTCCTTAGTTGTTGAGCTCATGATAAGGTTCTAGAAGGAGCCTGGGATTCTCATACCTATTAAGTCCCATGCAACATCTCTCAGATGATTTATGAGAGAGGCACAATCTGCATCAATACATCACTTGTATTCATTTAAATTTCAGTCACTAGTTTCCTGTTGGTGATTTACACAGTCATAAGTGAAAGCATGTGTGATTGTTGATTGCCATTAATTAACAAGGTGCTGGTTTACTGGTTGTACACCAAGGAACACAACCAGTGCCTGATTAATTAGCAACAATTCACCACTGTGGCTTACAGGAGTTCACTTGACATACTTGGTTCATTTATACAATGAGTGAGAAGGATATTGGAATTTTTTTAGATCAAAAGCTGAGCCAACAGTACGATGTGGCTGCAAAAAAGGCAAATGTGATTTTAGGTTGCGTTAACAGAAGCATAGTCTCCAAATCCCAGGAGATACTATTCCCCTCGATCCAGGACTGGTTAGGCCTCATCTAGAGTACTGCATCCAATTCTGGACACTGCACTTCAAGAAGGATGCCAACAAACAGGCAAGTTCAGAGGAGGGTGAGAAGGATGATCAGGGATCAAGGTAGCCATACAGAGGAGGGGCAGGATCTGTTCTTGATCATTCCAGAGTGCAGGACACGCAACAATGGGCTCAAGTTACAGGAGGCCAGAGTTCAGCTGAATATCAGGTAAAAATTGTTAGCTATTATAGTAGTATGACAATTTAGCCAATTACCTGAAGAGATGGTGAGCGCTCCAACACTGGAGGCATTCAAAAGAAAATTGGACAACTATCTGTAAGATCTGCTTTGATTTGGATTCCAGCCTTGAGCAGGGTGTTGGACTCAGTAGCCTTATAGCCCCCTTCCAACTCCATTATTCTATGATTTTATGATTTGTTGATCACCAGTAGGATTTTGACCATTGTATACTTAGTGTCCAATTTCTCCAGAAGAAATCTGATTTTTTTTCATATGTTTATAATGATTCTGGTTCCCCTGCCAAATGTTTAGAATTGTTGAATGATTATTTTAAGGTTTTATTTATAATCTGACCATAAACAGTTGCACTCATAAGTAGGCTGTATTTATAATTTCTTATTTTTGACTTTGTTTTTGTAATATTCTGCTACATTCTTGCAACTTGGCACAGGTCTGACTTCACATGCCCACTCATCCCTGGTTATCTGTGAATCAGGTGATGACATTGATATGTGAAAAACTAAGGGGCCAGCTATTTATTATAGGCGACTTGGTGTAGTGTAGTGGATAGATTGATGGACTAAGGCTCTGGAGAACGGAGCTTGTATCCTCCACTTGGCCATGGAAACTCACTGGGATAGTGGAATTGGTGAAACCCTTCCTTAAATGTCTCACTTGCCTTTAAAGCACTATTAGAGTTGCTATAAGTTGGTTCCAACATGACAGCAGAGCACATATACACAATTCTAGAAAAAGTATTTCCTTCTGATTGTGTGGGATTGTCATAGCAGGAGCTTTTTCTCAGCTCCCATAATTTGTCATTCGGTTTTGTTTTGTACAGGAACGTAAGCACACTCTTCTTCTATAAGTCTGCTTTCTCAGAAAAGAGAAGCTGCTGAAGTCACATCTCTTGAACTCTAATGTGATTTTAACTTCTGATGCCTAGTTGTCTGTGAAGTGTACCTTAGCCCCAATCACTAATTAATTGCCCTAAACAGAGCTTCTGTAGTGTTTGATACCAGCTCACCAGGTGTCAATTCAAACCCAGCATTTTTTCAGTGGAAAAACATTCACACATTTATCTGAAAGCAAATACAGTGGTGCCCCGCACAGCGAGGTTAATCCGTTCCGGATTAACCTTCGCCGTGGGAAACATCGCACTACGGAACAGAAAAAGGCATTGGAACACATTAAACAGCGTTTAATGCGTTCCAATGCCATAAAATACTTACCGTTGTGCAATGTTTCCCAGGGGCCGGCAGCCATTTTCGCGCCCTCCCCTCGCACAACGAGGGCGCCAAAATGGCTGCCATCAGCTGTCCGTCGGGTCCAAAATGGCCGCTGGAACAGCTGAAAGGGCCCAGGGTGCAGCGTTCTCGCGCCCCTGGTAAGCAAGGGGAGCGCGCGAAAACGCTGCTGGAAGCCCCGAAATGGTTGCGCGCAAAAAGCATCTAAAAGTGAAAATTTTCAGATCATGTCAGATATCAGAGAGAGGAAGAGTCCACAGAGATAAAATCTTCACTTGTTTAGTTTTTACAGATGAATCAATGAGTTTATTGGGGTTTTGCAATTTTTAATTCATCGCTCTACGAGGCGCCCGTTGTGCGAGGCACCACTGTAATTTAAAAGCCATTCATGTTAGAACCAATTCAGAAGTTGCTCTTAGAGGCAGATTAGCAAGCTGTAGTTTTGGGGAACCAGCCATAGTTCTGAGATAGATCACATGATTTGCCTGTTGTAGTCCCTGGCATCTCCACTTAAAAGGTTGAGATAGTGAATGATGAAAAGCAGATTTATCTGAGTCCCTTGAGTAGCATTGTAATCAGGGTGGTAGATGATATTGTAGTCCCTGCTACTCAAAAACTCCTAGGGCTTCACTTTCTGAGCCTTGGTTCCACTACATCACTGGTTCTTAACCTTGGGTTACTCAGGAGTTTTGGACTGCAACTCCCAGAAGCCTTCACCACCAATTGTGCTGGCTGGGGTTTCTGGGAGTTGCAGTTCAAAAACATCCGAGTAACAAAGGTTAAGAACCACTGCGCTACATCACCACCATTAAGAGTTGCTGCTCATCATTCTGAAAGCAATCCTGGACCAATCATCTGGGGATCTAGAGAGAGGGAGAAGCATTATCTAATTTTTCCTGCACTTTTCTTTTTAATATTAGCCCATCAGGCTTGGTGATCATTTAAACAGCATACTGCTTGGAATGTGCGAAGATGTCGTTTATGCCCGTGTGTCTGTACGGACGGTTCTGGATGCCTGCAGTGCTCACATTCGGAATAGCAGCTGTTCACCGTCTTTCTCCTACGTGAAACAGTTGGTGAAACTCGTTCTGGGGAGCTTGTCTGGGGTAAGTAATTTACAACCGAGTTGAGCAATTGCTGAAAGTTGGCAAAACAACCCACTTACTTGGCACACCTCTTTGAAGACTGTGTTCTAAAAATGAGAAGTTCACATGGAGATTTCTCAACATTTTCCCCACCTAGGTGAAAATCTTGTGGGCAAAAGAATTTGGTCTTGTGCTACATTTGCAAAAGAATTATTAATTTGGAGTATATACACACCACACCTGCCTTAAAACAGAGCAGTTCTCCTGTTGGGTCTGAATGGAGGTGACCTTGAATGTCTGGCCTGAATGAGATCCAGATCCCTTTGAAGGGCATTGTCTTCCCTCTACAAAACCTTGCCCCTTTCTTTTAGGAAAAGAAATCCCTGCTATCGCCACTCAGTTAATGGGGATGATGGTGATTCTTTTTCCTTGCTCTCAGCTTGTACTTCTGGAGGCTCTTGTAAAAGCTGGCTAAGAGCCCTTTGCTCACCCTTTCCTTCTGTTTGTGGGGGAAATGATGGAAGAACAAAGCCTAATTCCTAATTCCTGGCTTAAGTATCAGATGGGAAAACTACCTGGCACTTTGTTGGCATCGTGATAATTGGAAGTGAGCTTTTGGTAGTGGGATCTGGCCCCTTTCACCCCATGTTAGTCCACCAATTGTTGGATTCATCAGGGTTGCAAGTATAAATTCCTACTCTTTACCAATAATTTATGCAATTCTCTGCTGCTGAGTATGATGAGGGTCTCAAGTCCCTGCTTTCTGCCAGCAACTTTAAAGCTTTAGATGGCACTTAACAAAGAGCTTGTCAAATACATGGATAAGTTTATCAGTGGGTATGAATCCCAAGCTTTTTGTTCTATATGTTCAGAGTCAATGTACTGCTGAATGTCGGGGAAGTCTATTTCCTTCAGGCCCTGTTTGAAAACAGAATATTGGACAATATCAGCTATTGTTCTGATCCAGGAGGAGAGCTCATACATTCTCCACCTAGTTCTATGCCTCAGTCTGCCCAATGCAGGCTCTTCCTGTATATCTTCAATCTTATTAGGCGTCAACATAGTTGAAAATGTCAACTCTTGTCTAAGGGCTTGTGATTTTTATTTGTTTGTGTATGATCAGGGATGCAAGCCCATGCAGGTCTGTTTTGGAGTAAGGTTCTCAGCAAAGGTGACAAGCTGAGCAGGGGTTAGATGAGATGATCCCGAAGGCCTGTTCTCGCTTTGTGCTTCTGTACCTATAGGACTGCACTATAGATCAGTGGTTCTCAATCCTGGCTTTCTAAGTGGTGCTGGACTTCAGTTACAAGGAGCCTCAGCCAACTTGGCTTCCGATAAGGATTTGAGGACAGTATCTAGGCACTCATGGTTTGGGAACTACTGCCATAGATCATGTTGATTAGGGAGGAACTGCTTTTATGAAAACATAGAATGCCTCTATTGCACAAGGTATCTTCTCCCCCCTCTTCCAAATAGCTTGCCTCTCCCTTCAGTTTAGTATTCTGGTTTATTTGGTTATTGCAACAATTAGGAAACATTAGTCACTGAGCAGCCGAATACATAGAGGTCTCGACTTGTTTACCTCTATCCTGTAAAGAACTGTGGAAACTTAATCTGGGAGTGGAAATTCATTAGAGGAGCAGGAGGCTTAGCATGAAGGGGCTTCGGTAGAAAATAGAAATTTATAAAATTGCTAGACAAGCAGTAAAGTTTCTCATCCGTGATTCTCAAAATTGCTTTGAAGAACCTGGGCGGGTCTTGGTTTGAGCAGGTCGTATTAAACATCTGGTGAGTAGAGCAGGTTGTGGTCATTTAGGGAACATGGGCATATTCTCTCCAAACTGGCATCAGCTGTTACTTCTCCAAGCATCTGTTTGCTTTCAGAAGCTAAAACAAGGGGATGAGGAAGCAGCCTGAAGACGAGGGGATGGACAGTCCTCCTACCTCTGCCCCCTAATATGAAGTTTATTATTTCCATTATGGAAATGGGCTGCCAATGGATAAGCAATTGGAAAAAAGGTTGGGAACCTGTGATCTATTGTAAATAGTTCAGCTCAAATTTGTAACAGTGGCCTTAAGGAGGATCTTTTCCATTCGACTGAGAAGGCAGCTGCTGGTATCTCTTGTCTTTCTGCATCCATATGCAGTTAAGTTTCAGCTGTGAACAGAGTAGACCATGTCTAGATGGGCGGCATATAAATGCAATAAATAAATAAAATAAATAAATAAACAAAGTCTCAGTTATCCGGATCAAGTGCCATAACCTCATGGTTGTAAATGTCTTGGCATGTTTGGGATTTCGATCTTCCTAACAACTCAGTGATGCTGAACTTCATTGGCCCACATCCTTGTTTGCTGTATTTTGTTCCAACACATCTCTTCAAATGATCCATTGGATCTCATAGACCCTAACATATAAGGCTGGTTGTAAATTTATACTGGCAAACCTTACTGAAAAGAAACAAGAGTGAGATGTTGGCCTGCAGCATCTTGTTTTGAAATTACACTGGAGACATGCTAACTGTGATATGATCAAATAATTGCCCTTCTTTCTGGCCTGCTTGCTTAAAATAAGGAATGACTGTCTTTCCAGGCATAGTCAAGGCCCATATCATGTTGCAGAAAGACACCTGTACAAAATTGGAGTTTTAGAAGAGGTAGCCATGTTAATTTATGTTAGCACGACAGGCAAAAACAAAACAATTTTTTAAAAAAAGATAGAAATATTGTAGCACCTTAAATTCTAACTGCTATTTTAATGTGAGCTATTGTAGACAAGCCCATGTCTTCAGACATGAGAGTGAGATTCATGTCTGAAAAATAAAGAAGACAAAAACATGATGCAACATTTTTTTAAAAAAATGTTTTGTTTTTGCCTGACCTGTACAAAGATGTCTGTTGCGCAGTGTGTTGACAAAGCTCTGAGTCATCCATGATGCAGCTTCCGCAGCATTTAGTCCTTGCTTTGGCTTCTGAAAGGCATGTCTCAGCTTCTGTTGATCAAATAATGAGAAGTCATAAAAACTTCATGTGTTCTCCTTTGATCAAGAACTTTGCGTGGCCTTCAAAGTAAATTGTACCTTGGCATTTCATTGTTTTTAGGAACATAGGCCTTAATCGGACCATTGTTTATTTAGTTATTTGGTTCATATTCTGCCTTCTTCCCAAAGCTGAGAACCAGGAAAGCTGATAAAAAGATTTTAAAAACCAGATGCCAGTAAAAAAGCAATACATTATAGAACACGACAGTTAAAAATAGAGTTGCGCACATGTGTGTTTTTGGACTACAATTCCTAAAAAATTCCCCCAACAGCACAGCCAACATCCAAGTTGGCTAGAGAATTCTGGTTAGAAAACAATTCTAAAAATCACTACAACCCCTTTGAAAATCCCTTCTTCAGCATTCACTCCACGTTGCCCCTGCTTCACCCAACTTAACACCTGCTAGACTGTCTGTCCAGAAGTATCTATATATGTTAAAGATTGAGCTTGCATCCTATAGCCTAGAAAGCATGTGTTCCCCCACTGAGCCATCACATTCAGCCTTTGTCGTTCTCCACTTCTGCTCAGGAATGGAAGGCTTCCTCTAATGGTTGACCAGGCTAGCAGTGTTGAGGGACATAGCAATATGTCTGAAAACCACATATACTGTCTGTCCATATACTCAAGTACTTTTTTGTTCTGACTTTGCCACTAAGGAACAGTCCTTTCTGGGAGAAGACTCAGTTGGCACCATTATGCAGTAAGATTAATATGTTCAAAATCTCTTGGGCAGTAAGATGACTCTTCAGTTTATGAGTTAAAGCAGGGCTGGGCAAACTTGGCAAGTGTGGGACCAAGCGTTTTGCCCTGGGATCTGCTGAAGATCCAAGAACTTAAAGTAAAATTGTAAGTGACCAGGAGTCTTCATCTAGTTTTGTAATACTTGCCCTGGGGAAGCGGGGAGAACAAGGTGCAGGAAGGACTACAAATCATTTTAATCACAGCTCCTGGAGGCTTTTGGAAGTGATTGTTCTCTTTTTCCCCCAGCCTATTTTCATTCTAGCAGGAGGATTTGGAAAGGTGCACAAAAATTCGCAGGAGAGCTCCTTCCTGAGTACCACGTACAATTCATCTATGGTTGCAGCCATTCTCAACCAGGGACCCTGGAACATTTGAAGGGGGGGCTACAAACTGGCTACAGTTCTTTACACACCACCTTATAGAGTTCGTTATGAGACTTATATAGTCCTGATTTGGCCTACATTTCTTTCATATTGTATTCATGGCCGTGGCCAAAAAAACAAAAAAAAAGTTGAGAATTGCTGATTTAGTGGATCACAAATGAAACTCCAGCTTTGAGTTTATGACTTGACCCAGGAATTTCACTGCTTTCAGAGTATTCTAGTTAGCCATATATCCTTTGATGGGAAATGAGAGATTTCACTGACTTTGATGTATGAACTGGCTCTTTCAAAACACATTGTGTGTCTTAAATTAATATGAAAGTGTTACAGTAGTTGAAATAAAAAGAATATGTGATCATCATATTTCAATGCAACAAAATTGAATGTCAGTGATTCAAGTAAAGGTTAGAAATGTTTAAAAACATTTGCTTTGTTATTAATCGATTTTTCAGTAAGAATTAGAATTTAACAGACCAAGGGTGGATTAGATTGATAGGAAGACTGGCTCCCCACCCCCCACCCCCCGGTATTGGGAGGAAATGGAATTTGGGAGATGTTATCATGGTTTCTGAAGAATCTCAGAACTGTTTGAGCATTTAGAGACCTTGGGAAATGTCCTACATGCCTGTTATACTTAGAGCAAAATAGATGATATGCTTAGCCTGCTTTTGGAAGCTATGCTCTCTAAGTAGTGAAAGGTGCTTGTCTGGCCTAATGCGGGCTTTTCTTACCTCTCTATCTTGCATTCTAGCTTGCTTAGTTTTGTGATTGGTCATTGAAAGGTAAAGAAGGGCTTAATTGTCAAAGCACTTATCTCTATGGAAACTGATCTGTGTGAAGAAGTACAAGCTAGCTATAGGAATATTCATTTCACCTAATCACTTAAGTCCTGAAAACATCTGGAGAGCCAGCGTTTTCCTGTCTCTGCTCTAACGATTGAAAAGTATGGAGCATATGAGATAGTTACGTGATCTTGTAGCATTCTAGACCACTGATGAGCAACAGCAGCAGCAGCAACCTTTGAGGTGCAGCGCTGGAAGGGACTCTATGGATCATTGTGTCCCTCTCAAGGAAGCGGGGAACTGAACTCCCAACCTCTGGCTCTGCAGTGAGCTATCCAGCCATTCATTTTAAAATTTCTCTGTTCAAAATGTTCCCCCGCCTTATTTCAGAGACCCTGTTTCACTGACTCAGATGCTCTTCCAGGTCATGCCCCAAACAGTGAGGATGCCCAGCTGTGTCCCGTGCTTGGATCTTTCTTTTGCCAGCGCTGATGTGGAGGTTGTCATCATGTGATTCCATTTTCCCTCTGACATGTACAAACACTTTAAAATAGCCTCTTACTGAGTGAAATTTCTCTTTGTTGCTGCTTTTAAGGTGTTTGAGGGGATCTCAATAGAACTTACAGGATTCAGAAAGCGCTTTTTGAAGTAGCAGTCATTTAATACGGTCATCTGGAAGTGCCCTTCCTACAGAGAGCATCGTTTGTTCAGAATCCATCCTAAAGAATCCATAATGTCTAAGGTTATAGTCCCAAGTAAGAAAGAAGTGATGATATTTCTTAAAAGAGAAGGCAGCTTGTTTCTAAAGTCAGTCCATCCAGAGAGTGAACAACTGCTTTGCATTACTTTCACTTTGGCTTTTGACAATTAAAATGGTTTCATATGAACAACATGTGGGAGGCAGGAGTGTATTTATTTTTTAGCATTCCTGACAAAGACTGCAAGCCAAGCCAAATATTCATCACCTCCCGCATGTGGGAGGCAGGATGTATTTATTTTTTAGCATTCCTGACGAAGACTGCAAGCCAAGCCAAATATTCATCAAAGGAACGAAGAGAGGAAAGCCTGTGGTATAACCACATCATCACCTCCAAGCCAATTCCCAGTATGAACCTCTTTTTAGCAGAGCTGTAACTAGCAGTTTTGGAACCCTAACCCTTCGCCTTCTTATGGGTTAAACTTGGGTTACGTTCTGTTAACATGCATGGGGAAAGGCATAGAGTGGAATACTTGGATCTTGTGGGCAGCGAGAAGCACTTGGAGGCTGTATACAGATGTGGGGCGGGTGGCTTCATGCCCCTTCCATCAGCAATTGCTAACAGGGGAGTTTGCACCTTTCCAGCAGCAGATTTTATGCCCTCTACATTTTAATGAGGGACGTGGTGGCGCTGTGGGCTAAACCGCAGAAGCCTGTGCTGCAGGTCAGAAGACCAGCAGTCGTAAGATCGAATCCACGCGACGGAGTGAGCTCCTGTCGCTTGTCCCAGCTCCCGCCAACCTAGCAGTTCGAAAGCATGTAAATGCAAGTAGATAAATAGGTACCACCTCGGTAGGAAGGTAACAGCGTTCTGTGTCTAAGTCGCACTGGCCATGTGACCACGGAAGATTGTCTTCGGACAAAACGCTGGCTCTATGGCTTAGAAACGGGGATGAGCACCGCCCCCTAGAGTCGAACACAACTGGACAAAAATTGTCAAGGGGAACCTTTACCTTTACCTTTATCCTTACATTTTAATACTCTAGGTCAAAGCTCCAGTTGCTCCTCAGTAGTTACAGCTCTGTTTTATGGTTTGGTGTGAGAGAAATGTAATGGTTAAATGTCATTCATGTCATGATAGAGGAGAGATTGACAAAGGAAAGAGTCAGTGGATGTGTGTGTATATTCCTTCCAGCTAGCTTAATTTTTAATGTGTTGCCTTCCGCCAGTTTGCCAGCATGGGGTTTTCAGCTTTGCTTGATTTAATTTTCATTTTTAACAGGTAGATCAGCTTTCCTGCATCGGGGACAAAAAGTTTCAGACTGACAGGAGCCAGGCCATCCGCGAAAGGCTGAGAGGGAAGGGACTTCCCACAGGTAAATGTTTAGCAATGAAGGGAGTTGGTCTTGTTGTGGAAAACCAGATTGCTTTTAAATCATTTGCCTTCCAGATAAGGAATATGAAGCAGGGAAGAGTTTCTTCTGACGTTATGACCAACCTGACAGGTTTTGCCTCACAAAACCGATGGTTCACCTCATAGCCAGATAACACATTGTTTGTCAGGAAGGGTTTCTCAGGGCCAGGCTAAATGTGATGCTAATTGCTTGCATGTGTTTAGCACGTGTAGCCACCAGAATGGAAAGACCAGTTGTGGTAAGGGGGTCCAGCACGATCATAAATACTGAGCCTTTAAAGCTGGGAGGGCAGGCTCTTTTCCTCACTCTGCGATCCTTGTGAAAATCTCCCTTCCCAGCTGCTCGTAGGGCTAGAGGGAAAGAGCCATAGCAATGGAGGTTTCCTTCTCAAGATAATCATAACTTGCAGTTGCAGGGGGAGTTTTTCAATGGGATAGCAATGAGTGGAAGGATTAAGACATCTTCCCATCTCCCTGTGTTTGAGACATAAACAGAACACACAAGGCTGTTATTTACATTTAAAAACTACACACCTTAATCACTTCCATTCGGTGAAACTAATTAAGTCTCTTGGGTTTCCCTGTACACCATCAGTAACAAAAGAGATGCCTCTGGCTGTACCATAGTCGTATGAAGTCACAGTCTCCCTTCTACACATACACAATTGCACACAGGCAAAGACATACACTTTTCCTACCAAGAATGTATATTTTTCATCACTCTTGTCAAAAAGATACTGCTTTTTTTTCTTTTTGTGAGGGTGAAACAATCGGGAAAGGCCACCCATGTATAAGATGTTTTCTCTCTGGTAAAAATAAAGCCATAATAGGCTTGAAAGCCACAAAGCTAGACCAGATTAAGACAGCTTACTTGTTGAATTTTGTTGTTATTGTTTTTATTTTTTTGTAAGAAACTGGAATTGATTAAACAAGTAAGGTAGAATCTCATTGGTGTTCTGCTCCTCATTCTGAAGTTATCCTAATTTATGTTCATTCAGTGCTTTGCTTTGTTTCTTTCCCTCTTACCTGACTTAAAACGATGTGCATGACAATAAGTCAATAATGATAAACATAATAAACACTACAGTAAACAGGCTAGTAAGTCCATGAGTGCCAAAGTGGTGTTGTGGTTAGTGTTAAAGTAGGACTCAGAAGACTCTGGTTCAAATCTCCAGTGTGTCATGACGCATACCAGATGGCATTGGGCCAGTCCCATTCTTTCAGCCTGATCTACCTCACAGAGTCATCAAAACTGTACCCGCGCATTTAAATTACAGAATATGTAGGAGAGCGTCACCAATAAAGTAGCACAGTAGTTACAATTAGGTTTCAATAATGTGTGCACCATTTAATAATTCAATTTCTCTGCTACATCATGAAAATTTTTGGGATCTTGCCCTGAAGGAATCTTTTTAAACAGTTCCCCACAATATTTTTATTATATAACAACCTGGTGGTCATTTATTCTGGAAAAAGTGGGAATTCACAATGAACTACAGAGGGGAAGAAAGGAAGTATTAAGTGAGTAAGGAAAGATTCTTGGTCTCCATTTTCTACCCTCTCCTAGTTCCTACCTTCTTTATCTCTAATGCTGTTTGTGTGTGAGTAGTAGGATTATGTGCAGTTAAACCAAGCAAAGGAAGGAGTAAGTAGGAAAGATGATGCCTTCTTGAAGCTGGCTCCAAGCTTTGCAAGTTAATTAGGAAGAACAATGAGGGACAGTTGCTTCAGCAGGTGGATGCGATCCAGTTATCATTAGGCATTTTAAATTTCCTATATACTCTCTTACAGTATTTAGTGGAGATTTTCAAAAAGGTTTTAATGCTGGGTCACACATTTGTGAATAAAAATAATTAATTAAGACATTGATAAGATGAAAGGCAATAAATTAATACAATGTAAAAGAAACAAGAATTCCGGAAGGAGATGTACAAGGAAGGGGGGATGTTTGAAATGTGTTATTGAAAGATGGACGGACTAAAATGTTTTAAAGTATTCAGATTTCCAGCTAGCTAGGAAGAGAATATATTAGGGTTATGAGTGCTTTTTAAGAAGTTGTCTCCTGGGTGCTGGGTAGTAATGGTAGAGAAAATCTCTGGTTGTTTTGAGTGTACAGCATCTGGATGTTTGAGGCTTGATAAATAGAGTATCTATGATCAAATCAAAGAAGGAACCAAAGCCAAAAGAGAATTAAGGAGAAATTGGCTGACAACATTAAAAGCAGCTGCCTTGAAAGCAGAATAAAGACCCTAATGTTTTTGTTCAGAGAAGATCATTAGCAAATAATTTAAAAAGTGTTTCAGGGCATTAAAATGGTAGGGAAAAGCCAGGTCTGAAGGCACAAAGTCAATTAGCAGTAAGATGTTCAAGGCAGGAGAATCAAATAACCAGTTTGTAGTAGTTATAAGAAAATTAAATGACATAATTTAGATTTATTAGATCATCACAGATGCATTCAAATTCAATAAGAGAAACTGGATGAGAATAACTGGGCAGGCCAGAGATGATTCATCTAGAAGGTGCTTTCTAAAAGAACAAAGGGACTTGTGTTACCTTAAAGACTAACAGGTTTTATCTGTCATAACGTTTTCGGGACTGCATCCCATTCAGATGTTTTCTTCAGAAGTGGGCAACTGTCTGAAAAAGCCTATGCCAAATAGAAGATGGTTAGATGCTAAACTGCCATAACAGTCTTTGTTATAATTGCTCCAATGGAGTAATGTAGCTATCCCACCAAAATGTTTGGAAAAAGAATGATATCAATCCACAGAAATAAGACTTACTAAACTTTAGTGTGAATTCTCTGATGAGATCAGTAGATTTCAGGCTGTCACTTGCTGTTAACCAATGCGGTTCTGTCACTGATGACAATTGATTAGATGTTATGTAAGTGCATGCTGTCAGTATACTTCATGCTTGACAGTTTGGGGATAAAGGCTATATTTATCCCTTCGATTGAACTGAGCTGTGTCCTTCCAATGCATCCTTTGACCTTTCCTTTTTTGTTTCCACATGGAAACAATATGTATTTTCCTGGTCATGCACAGACCTCCATTGAAATTTCCATCTCTGTGAGCCATTGGCAATAATCAGGAGGTTGTTTAAGAGTGAAGTTCAGGAAGATTGGATGAATCATGATACCGCTTGACTATGTTCTTTAAAAACTATTACTTAAGATAGGTCTGTTTTGGTCACCTTCTGCAAGACCTGGGCATGCTTTTAAGATTCAGTACCATTTCTAATCCCAGGAGGGGAAGGGACAGATAAATTAAGAAACAGCTAACATAATCCCTGGATTGTTGTCTGTATTAAATTCTGTATCTATATGTATTTTAAAGTTAGGATTTTTTTTAAAGAAGCAATTGTATTCCTCAGAGGGAAAAAAATGAGGTAAAAGAGAATACATTTTTGGGGTAAGGGGAGACGCTGTGGCTAATGAGAAGAAATATTGTTCTTTTTGACAGTACATGTCTTTCTGCTTTTGAGAAATGTTCAACTCAGTTTTCTCTGCATGTCCAAGAAAAAATTCCTTGTTGTGAGAGATAAGAGTATTTATATTGTGGTTTGATAGAAGACAGTTGTCCCCTTCTTGTTAGAGGCAGAGGGCAAAGATAGGGTCAAACTAGGTATTAAGGGAGAGACATAGAAGGGCATTTTCCCTTCTCTAGTGGGACCTTTTTCAAAGATGACATGCCTCAGCAATTAGGGTTGCAGATTAAAGCTGTGTTTGGCTCCTAGTAACCAATCACAAAGGAAAGCATGTTCAATGCAATATACACAGGGGAGGAGAATCATGTGCAACAAACTGATGTCTTTCACCACTTGGGGAATCAGCCAATACAAAAAAAAAATGATAAATATATTTAGTTTGACACTTCGGCATCACCTTGACACTGACGGAGAGCGCAAGGGATAGAGAACATTGGGGGAGGGGCCCAGATGACCATTTGATGCATTGCCCCTGACCGCTGACTGTACTGGCTAGGGCTGATGTGAATAGCAATCCAACAGCATCAGAAGGACCATATATTCCCCACTGCTGCCTTATATGGACAAATAGCAACTATTTGTTTTATTTAAGAGGAAGTAAAGGTGTTCACTAATAATGGGGTGGACCAACTTTGCTCCCTTCATAATTATTACTCCAGCCTCTTGGGAAGCATGGCAGAAATATCGAACTTGTGTGCTAGAAAAATGAAGTATTTGCTGTCTGTAAAATGACACAAATCCAAGAAGCATTCTTCTCATTCCAGGGAGAAGTTTAATGGCTGATGCTCCAGATGTTCACAAGCCTCCGTTCTCTCAACAGATCATGCTTAACAAAGGGCTTAGTAAGTCTCTGGGTTTCTTGTCTGTCAGAGCTTTGCAAGGTGAAGAGGCATTTGGCCAGGGCATTTCCTCCCATTATAACGCTGGCCACGACGATGACACAGATTCTTGCTGTCCTTACCAATATAGAGTTGCTCAGGTGGAAAAGAAAGCCAACAATGGCCCCAAACGGAAAGTCTGGGCTTCTTCGTCAGATTTGCTATGTGCAGATGAGAAAGCCATGGAAAAATACTATGTTGGGGATTCCCGCCAGCACCACCAACATGCGGGGACAGTTTCAGGACGGATTTCAGCAGCTGCCAGAAGCAAGGAGGGCAGATATTCTGATGGGAGCATAGCCCTTGATATATTTGGTCCTCAAAAACTAGATCAGGTGTGCCATGGGCCGGAGACATCAACCTCTGTGGCCTTGTCGAGTGCCTTTGACAGGATCAAAGAAAGGCAGAGGAAGCTGCAGTTACTGAGGGAAGCTATGAATGTTGAAGGTCAGTGAATTCTCTTATCCATTTATGCTCTATCTGTAAGGCCCCTTACATTTTTGCTCCTTCACACAGAGTATCATTTGGTTGAAATAGTTTATTATAAACTGTGTTTGCTGTATGTATGCTTTTTTTTGAAGTGGTGATTTGTTTTGTTTTATTTATTTATTTTTATTTATTTATTTAATTTTAAAATGGTGATTGTTTTGTTTTGTTTTGTGAGTAATTACTTGTATATCATGCACAGTCTCTTGGTTTCATGGAAACTGCGATGTTTAGGCTAACTGGATAGCTCAGTGATTATGGTGGAGCCATATGTTGAGAGGTTGATTCCCCACTGTGCTTTCTGTGACTAGAGCCATTCTTTGTAGCTTGGAGAGTACCAAGGTGCTCCCAGAAGAAGGGAATGGTAAACCACGTTTGAGTATTCTCTATCTGGAAAACACAAAAAGGGTCACCATAAGTCAAAATTGACTGGATGGCAAATGAGGATTATTATTATTGATACTTAAGAAGTAAGAACTTGATATTCAAATTGGAATGATGCTGCCAAAGTGAGGAAATGCATACAAATAATTGCCATTAAGCGATTTGGTGCAAAATTAGTCAAATTTTGCACCAGATTTACAAAAATTTGCACCAAATTTACAAACATAAGAGTTTGTAAATGTTATGTACAAACTGTCTGTGCTTTCCCAAAGATACAGGACAGAGCTTTTCTCCAGCTCTTGTCTTGTGAAGTTAAACCTGAATTCAGTTGCTTGTTCTGGCTAGAGTTAATGGAATTTACACAAGTGTTGGCAGTTGACTGAGTGTCCATTCTCTGGTTGGGACTAGTTGCTGTCTTTTGGCTTTTATAGTAAAGTTTAGACAAGCCAACTCTTTCAGTTTAGATCAGGGGAACATGTAGGTGCTCAAATTTTCTTATTTGACCCTAATTGCCCTCAGTCCCAGCCAGCATAGTCAGTGATCAAGGCTGATATAAGAACTGCTGTGTAACAACATCTGAAGTGCTGCAGGTTCCTTAGCCATGATTCAGTTAATGATTCAGTATGTAGGTATGTTAGTGATAGCCTCACAGCTGCCACAGTCTTGCAGGTGGGAAGCCTCAAAATGAGGTCATGGCCTGGTCAAAAGCACTCAATGCAGCAAGTTTGCTGAAGCTAAGCAGATTTGTGCTCTGGCTTTCGGGGACTTACATTATTACAATTCAGTTTTTAAAAATTTGTTCCTGGTCTGTAGTAACTCTGATATAGGTTTCTCTTCTGGGCCGGCTCTGTCATTAGGCAAAGCAGGGTAGAAGTGTCAGGGAGCAAATGTTGGGATGCGGCCAGACACCCTGCACTTTGTCCCCTAATCTAGCTTACTGCCTTTGGGTGTGGTGGAAAATGCCGCCCCATGGCTAAGTGCTGAAGGAAGATCGTCTACTGCTCCAGTTCTGTAGAATGTCAAAATTCATAATTACCTCTCACACCGAAAGTCACGTTATAACCAATACTCTTGGCACATTCTAAGCGATAAAGTTACAAAGAGATTAGCTTTTCAACTTTTCATTAGTAACCTTGATTATTTTTGTATCTCTCACCTGACATCATTATCATATCTTAAAAGGTATTTGATGTGACTCTTTGTGGCCTTTCTTGGGCCCTGACAACCATTCTTCTAAAGCAAATAGATTGGTTTTGTTACTCTCTTGTAGCTTGGTGATCATTGTTTGCCTTCAATTAGTAGTTGTCCTTATTCCTCGTCGTTCTGTCTTGTAATGTCTGTGATGGTTTAATACAGAGTTTTAGCTACCTACTCTAGAAGGCAAAGGCAATTTCTGTTTTCTGTCACGCTAAACATGTTTTTTGATGAAAAACACCTTTGACATAACCCTTGATTTTTCTCATCCATGTATCTTGCATTTAGCATACCGTATTTTCCTTTGTGATTGTTTGTTAGAAGGTAAACATAGGGTTGATTTACAATTCGGAGGTGTGTTCCTGTGATAAAATTAGTCTGAGGGGAGAAAAAGAAGGCTAATGATTGAGAGTATGTGTTCCCCTTGAGGTCTACTCTGATTCTTGAGGGATGCTCTTAGTTTTTAGGCCTAAGACTTGACAGTCTATACTGAAGCTAGCATTTTTACCACTCCCCAATTTTTCACATGATGTTTGTGGTGCCCAAACACTAACTATAATTGCCTTGTCTTCACATAAATGTGGACACATGATTAAGCTTGCAGTGTCACAACAAATGCTTCTGCATAGCAAGGAGTAAGTTGCAACTACTACTTGAGTTGCAGCAATTAATTCTGTATGAACTGAGCAACCATCCTTTCCCTCAAAACCTGAAAAGATTCCATCATTTTAATTTTATGTATATACATTTTGATTTTGGAAGCAAGAAACCTTGGTTCCATGAAGCTTAATATATGATTTTCATGCAAGTTAAAAATGTCATGTAAACAACATATGTTGTTGCTAGACATAACCTATGTCCTTTTATGTCTTTGGGCATATAGGGGTTAAGCACAGCTCTTTTACCCTTGCCTTCTCTTTGCATATTGGTTGTAATGTTAAGATTCGTTTATTGGTTAGAGATGGGCACAAGCCGCCAGTTGAAGAGTTTGTGCCAGTTTGTTTGATAGACTGTGCTGTCAAAGCTCTGCCTCCTCCAGCAGTCGCCCCCTTGGAGGCAGCATCCCGGATTGCTTGCCCCGCCTCCACCAAGTGCTGCCCGTAAGTGGGAGATGGAGCTTTGAAGTGCTGAACCTGTGTTCGACCACAAAACGAACTTGAACAAACTGCTGAACCAGTTTGTGCCCATCTCTGCGATGTTACATCTACTTAATGATCCTTTAAGTGGCTGATTTCTTTATTGACATGAAGCTCTTGTTCTCTAGTTTAGGTGCAGCAGGGTATCCTGACTCAGAGAAAGTTTTTTTTTCTTTTTGTATAAGTCTAATTTTTCTTTTTTCCTTCCTCTCTTTTGTTCTAACGATGGTAATTTCTGTAAAGCTTCATTTCAGACCTCTGCATTTGTAATCTGAGTCTCATCTTTGAGTTAAAGCAAAAGCAAAGCAAAGCAAATAGGAATGTTACACCAAAGCCAGCGTTTGTCAGGATGGGATGGGAGGAGCTCCGATACTCATTTATGGGTTCATGACCATAGTTTCTGATCCAAACCAGGGCTGATATCCTAGACAAATTTAGAGGCCTCATTTCTTAGATGTAGGAGGTGCCTGGTGAGATCCATCTTGCCAAGATCTTTTGGACTTTACATCTAAGAATAACGTCCCTGGCAAAATCCATCTTACCATGGACCTTTGGACTTTAAATTCTTCGCACCGGTGCATGCCGGACAAAGTGTTCCTGATCCACAAAACCTAGGAGATTGTATGATGATTTTTGTTTTAGTGATCTATAAAGGAATCGCTTACTCTTACATTTGTTTTTCATATAACTATATAATTGCCCTTTATTACAATTGAAGAAGAAGAAAATGTTGTGCTGTTTCCTCCAAACCGTTTCTTCGCATAGAACCAAAAGATTGCATCCTGTGGTGGCTTTATGTTAGCAAAAAGCACTGAGACTCTATGAAAGTCGTAGAAATCCTGTGGAAGTTCTGACCCGTCCATCTACCAACCTCAGCCATTTTCACATCCTGAATAGCTACGTTTGAAGATCAGTGGACTCTCTTAGGATGTTTATGTTAGTTACAGTATATTTAAATCTGGCCTTTTCTCCGTTGAACTCAAGGTGGTCTATACCATTCATTTCTTTCTTCACCCTCACAATAACCTTATGAAGTAGGGTCAGGCTGAAATAGAGTGACATGGGCAAGGTTACTCAGAGCCAAGGATTCTGAGAGGAAGGTTAAAAACTAGATCCCCGATATCAGTATTATAACTTCCGTAGCACATCGGCTGTCTTGGTACATCCATTAGGATGAGCGTGATAGAGAAGCTTTAGTAGAAAGACTTAGGGTGGAATAGAATGGTATGGCCCATTTTGCCACAACGTTAATGTTTTATGCTAGTACAAAGGCGTACATTACAAAATGTTGGCCGGCAATTACTTTGTGGGAAGGGAGACTTAAATGTGGAATATTTATGCGTAAAGTGATAAACCTACAAACACAGACCTGCTTGTTTACCATTTTACAAAGGAAGCATTTTCTAGCAGTATTTGTCTGGTTCTTCATTTTCCTTTCCTTCTTTTTTTCTAATGCTGATAATTTTTGTCACATCAGATTTGAGAAAAAAAATAGGAAAAGGCCATATGGCCCTTAAATCATGTTTCATTCCCAGAGTTTGTGACTGGTTTAACTTAATCTTAAAACAAACAAATTCAGGGTGGATCTCTCCAGTTATGAAAAGGTAGAAATGTTTTAATGTAACAGAACTCCACCCTAGTTACAACACTGTAGAATAAACAGTAGTGACATGCCGTATTTGATGTAATGATTGATATTATTCATTTTCTGTTGCGATACAACAAGCTTATTCCTCTAACTGAAGAAATTTAATCTTATTTTTCAGTGTCAGTGTTCAGCTAAACGTAAGAACAGCCCAGCTAGAGGAAATCAAAATTCCATCTAAGTCTGTTTTGTAGTCCCTATACAGTAATAGACAAATTACCATGTTTTTCTGTGTATAAGATGCCCCCATGTATAACACACCCGCCACTTTTCTAACCCGAAATTTCTTTCTTTGCAAGAAAGTAGAGGGGGAAGGCAGGGATCAAATTCCTGCTTCCCCCCTCCACTTTCTTGGGAAGAAAGTCCTTTCCCCTCCACTTTCTTTGCAAAAAGCTGCTTTCCCCCTCCAACGTTTACAAAGAAAGTGGAAGGGGTGCTTTCCCCCTCCACTTTCTTTGTGAAAAGTGGAGGGGGAAAGCAGGGATCAAAGCACTCCTTACTGCCGTGTATAAAACGACCCTCAATTTTTCCTCTAAGTATTTTAGGAAAAAGTGTGATTTTATATACACGGAAAAATACAGTACATTTATTTGTTTATTTGTACTTATTTGCATTTTTTGACTACAACTTCCACAACCTCTTAGGTATTCTGGGATTTGCAGCCATATTTATATAATATTACTCTGTGTGTGTGTTTGTGTTTGTGTGATAAAACGACCCTCAATTTTTCCTCTAAGTATTTTAGGAAAAAGTGTGATTTTATATACACGGAAAAATACAGTACATTTATTTGTTTATTTGTACTTATTTGCATTTTTTGACTACAACTTCCACAACCTCTTAGGTATTCTGGGATTTGCAGCCATATTTATATAATATTACTCTGTGTGTGTGTTTGTGTTTGTGTGTGTGTGTGTGTGTGAAAAGTGGAGGGGGAAAGAAGGGATCAAAGCACTCCTTACTGTCGTGTATAAAACGACCCTCAATTTTTCCTCTAAGTATTTTAGGAAACAGTGTGATTTTATACACGGAAAAATATATATATGTTTCTAATTTGTATAAACCACTTAACACCTAAAAAATTCAAAGCAGTCTACAACAAGACAGTAGGAATATAAAACAATATATGAAATAAATACACAGTATCTATACCATTTATAAGACTAAATGCCTGCTGGTTTGAATGATGCTGGGGAAAATAAGTATGTCTTCAAAGTATGACTAAAAACAGGAATGGTCACATCATATCTAAAATCAAGGAAGCGTTTTCCGCCTAGAGAGTGCCCCTTGTGCTAAATGCCATTCTCCAAACAGGTGCAAGGCAGATCTCAGAGTGTGTGGCATCAGCACCACACCCGTTTCTCTCCTGTTTTCAAGAGCAGCGTGGTGGACCAAGTGCTGCCTCCCAGATGTTGGCAGATTGCACATCCCATCAGTCCTTGCGAGCCTAGCCAATGGTGTGGAATTAGGACACTTGAAACCCAACATCTTGGAGGACCTCACTTGGCTCACTCCTCTTGTAGAGCCATCCACGTTGGGAGCCATGATAGGTCCCCTTCTGTTAGGGAAGTGTCTCTGTTTTCCCAGCTCCCCATTTATACCCTGTAGGTGGAGGATGTGGTGCTCCTTTCTTCTTCCCCTTGTGGTCCTTGCCATTACTCTCCTCACTTGGTCTCTTTCTAGCAGTCCAGCCAATCAGAATGTTTAAGGGGTACTTGGCATACCAGATAATACCTGGAATATTTAGAAACATAATCCCAGCACCTGCTTGCTTGCTCTAGTCAAGCCCACACAGCCCCTGTGCTATTTGGAGGCACTCTTGCATTTTATTGTGCTTTATAGCTTTTTGCAGCCTCCGTGTTCTTCATATCATTCTGCCACATTTTTTGTGCAATCGTGTGTGTTGCAGCTCTGCTGGAGGGAGTTAGGGCATGGAGTGGATCTTGTTTCCTCCTATTTCGAGGTGGTGGAGTTTCTATTTAAAATATCTTAGGTAGGAAAAATGCAGATGCATGCAAACAAGATTCTGGCCAGTGCTTTTCCATTTCAGGGCTGTTGGAGTGCTTTGTTTTCAAGTGCCAGAGAAAATGCAGACATTTACATCCATGTGAGCTTTTACCCTCTCTCATCCTGCCTTTCCCCCACAGTTTATATGCTGGGGATAGGGGTTCACTGGTCACCAGATAAGACTGTGTGTTGCCTGTGTCAGTTACCCTCCGGTGCCCCAAGTAACATCAGCTGTATGTAATATATTTCTGGTCAGTTTTCATTAATATATCTATGAGAGGACTATCAAATCTTATTCCTTCCTTCCCTCATTCAAATAGCAGTTTGTATGTATATCTAATTAGACATCATTTATTGTATATTTGTTCCCCTTGTAATTTTCTTGTTTTGCATGTGTGTACCTTGATTTCTGCATCTTTTCCTGCCAGTTAATTCTACTTGTGATCCTTTTAAGTAAAACTGACACTGCTAATGTTGAACTGAAAACATTTTAAAATAAATCAATGGACTGTGATTTCATGCTGTATGAGCAAAAACTGTTCTATCCCAAGCATTGGTTTACATACCATGTTTTTTATTGCATTATTTTGCAAAATGAGAAAAGACAGAGCCAGACTGACAAATTTAGCAAATAGTTTCCTGAGCCCAGACCTCAACTGATTCAATTGATAAATCAATTTTAATTGATTGTGGTTGGCAAATGCAACCCTAGCCAAATGTTAACCATGGTGCTGTGTATGCTTCCTTTGCAATACCATTCTCAACACCTCTTTTCCTTGCTTTCTCCCATTGTACCATTCTCACGCCTAGTTATGATTCTGCAGTGACCGCTGTTAACAATACTGTCGCTGTTGTGTGCTGTCAATTTGCCTCTGACTTATGGTGACCCTGTGAATATCTTCCAAAATATCCTGTCTCCTCAGCAGCTCTGCTCGGTTCTTGTAAACCCAAGCCTGTGACCTCCTTGATACAGTCTCATATTTGGTGTTATTTTTTTCCTCCTGCCTTCAACTTTTTCTAGAATTATATTCCTAAACACTAGTTCAGAATCCATTTCTGCATTAAAATTAAAGGACGTGCTTCACCATAGTTTAACAGTGGTCAGATATGATGTGAAATGTTGGTTCAGGAAGTGGATCTTGGAGAGTTTAATAGGGAAGAACAAAAGCATTCACCAAAATGTTATTCCCATATATGTTCCACGCATATAAGTCTGGTGATGTAATCAGCCATGTATTTTGCCCTTTAATTAAATGGTTTCTATCCTCTCTCTTCCAAAGTTCCATGGATTTCGGGGGATTTCTTTCAACCTACGAGAACCTTTGGGATCCTCAAGGCCAGGACAAAACCTTTAAGAATGTCTGAAAAGTGCCTCCTGTCGGGACTGGGACCAGCAGTGGAATTTTTTTAAGGCTTTAAGGCTCTTCCACGCTCACCCCCTGCCCTGTCTGAAGGCACTCAAAGACTTCTCTCAGTCAAATGGGACCCCTGGAACCAAAGAGAGGGGAATTAGGAAACTTTGAATTGAAGATCAAAGTCTGGGGCTGATCTTATGTCCACAAAGCTTAGAAAAGTTGCTTTAGACACGTCCCAGAACTGTCTAGTCAATATGGCCACGCTAGGAGCTATAGTGCTAAAAAGTAAGAGTTTCATGATCTGGTTTATATCAGTACTGGCCCGTAAAACCACCATAACAGCTAAGAGGGTTCATCCACATTGCCCAGTGCTGACACTGTTTGGTCTGCAACCATATGAACAAGATCTTAGAATTAAGTGTGATGTACAATTGTGCAGCAGTTCACAATTTTGGCCACATATTTCTCAAACAAAGATGGTGATTGCATGGCATTTCGTGGTATTAAATCCCTGTTGAGCTTTTACACTCTTCTTTGTCTTGATGAAAATTGCAGAACATACACGAAGATATAAATCTTATCATAGTGATATATACAGCACAGACAGTGAATGCCCATCATTTGTTTCTTCTGAGGCAGATTTCAGACAAGGTAAGAAATGTTTGAATTCCTTCCTTCCTTCCTTCCTTCCTTCCTTCCGTCCGTCCGTCCGTCCGTCCGTCCGTCCTTCCGTCCGTCCATCTATCCGTCCATCTATCCGTCCATCCATCCATCATAATTTTGTTTTCGCCAATCCTTCTCTTGTTGATTTGTGGCCTTACAGCTGAGATTTCTACAATCATTGAATCATAGAATTGGAGGTATCTCTAAGGGTCATCCAGAAGTTCCATCTAGTGTAGGTTGCTCACAGCTCCTGCACCTCTGAGGAATGGCTATCCAACCCCTAATCAAAAATCTCTATGGAAGGATAGCCACCACTTTCCAAATTAGCCCATTTCACTGTTAAATAGCTGTTAGTCAGAAAAACGCTTTCTAATGTTTAATGCAAATTTTGCGTCTTATATTTTGAATCTTCTGCTTTCGATTCTGCCCTCTGCTGCAGTGGAAAACAACTTTGTTGTTTATAGTAGGCACACTTGAGGTTAAGAAAGGAACCAGGTATAAGTAAGGAAGGATAAATCTAAAAGAGTTGTCCCAGGGTCCTTCTGCATCTGTTATAAGGAGAAACACCCTGGCTAGGCTGTATGGGAAGTGATCAACAGGAAGACAGAATTAAAAGGTGGAAAGAAGAAATGAAAATATAGGGTAAACACAAATTGAAGTGGATCTCACACTGAAGGCCTAGACTGAAAGGGAGTAAGTCCACACTCGACCCTGGACTGTGGGCCAGTTAATGTGTACCATATTTCAGCTTCCTCCCAACACACTTTGTTTGTTTGTTTGTTTGTTTGTTTGTTTGACTTTTATACTGCTCATCTGACTGCCAGGGCCACTCTGGGCTGTTTACAACTCGAAAACAAATAAACAATAATCTAAAAACAATACACATAATAACAATCAAAATCAAAAATTAAGCTTCAAATAAACTTTAAAAAGCAATCCGACTAAAAACTAGGAATAATTAAGATAATTTAAGGCAGTGTGTCAGAACGGATAGTGTAAACCGCTGGAACAACTACTGTGTTACGATGTTATAAACTCCAGGAAGGGCTACCTGAAAAGCTGTGTTTTCAGTGATCGTTTAAAGCGTATTTTTATCATGCCTAAAGCTAAAAACAGGAAGTATACAAATATTTTAAAAAAGCCAAAGTATTATGTTAAAAATACTAAATAAAATCAATACTAAAAACACATTTAAAAACAGGGGTTGTCAAGGGCAGGAACATTAAAA